AAATAACTTGTGACAGTTTAGTTGTTTCTTTTGAAGTTTTGCTAAAAATTCTTGGATGAGCTTCTTTTCTTCAAAGTACACAAAAACTGTACTCATACTAACTAGTCTTTTAGGCACGATAATACAGGGTGTCCGGTAACTACGAGGAAAAAATAAAGAGTTATATAGAGCAGGTCAAACGAGTGCTAGTACTTTATATAAACTTTTTACCTAGGTGCCATTGTTGAGGAGTTATTGTCACTCAAAGAAGTTGAAAAATAAATATTGACCATAATTTCTAAAAGGATACTTTGATTAACTTGAAATTTGGGGGATCAAAGCAACTCATTCAAATGTATCTTTGTACATTTAAAATTGAATCAAATATTTTTTATTATACAAGGACGGTCGAAATTATGTTCTAAAATTTACATAGCATTGACAGAGCTGTCAAATTTGATATTTCGCCCTCGCAGGCAGATAGCCATGTTACTTTTCTACAAAAAAGGTATACTTCATGAACGGTTGTCAAGATAATTAAATTTTTGTATTTTGTGTATAGCCACAACCGGGGACACAACGCAACAGAAAAAAGTTAAGAATGAAACATATGGATTAAAAGAGGTTACTTCCGTAAATGCTCGATATGTCCTCCATCTAGTTCAATGCACTTCCTTATAGACCAGGCGGTATCTGTTTTGGTTTGGGTGAATCGTATATTCACGGAAATTTTTGGCTTTTTGGCTTTCAAATATCACTAAAAATGAAAATTTTTCTATGCGCATAAAAAAAAACGTGGGCTTAACTTTTGACGGCACAATATGTTAAAAAAATTGGAAAAATGTCATATTTTTCTTCCTATTTAATTATGTATCTTTTTAAGAGTTGATTTTAGGCGAAAATGGAAGAGGAAAAAAATGTTTGTAATTAAATTTTTTACAATACATGACTGGTTACAAATCGAATGAATCATGATTATTATGGTAAAAATCGAAAAAATCACAAAAATGGGGTTAAAAAACAAAACTTTTTAGGGAATTTTTTTGGGGTATTTAAATTGGGTGTAGGACCTTTATACTTGGCTCAAGAAAACTTC